TGGTCTTTACCTTAATACACAACAATGGAATTCTATGGGCTGACCTTTTTCAGAGCATTTTAATGCAGAAATATGAAAGGGAAATTGTGTTCCGAAGACGAACGAAGGTCTTACGGGTTTCGAACAACACAAGGGTGAGTAATTAATGACAGAATTTTCATTTTTGCACTCATTAATAATTATTTATTTATTTATATTTTAAGTGTTATTTTAGCTGTAAAGTTTCTAAATCATCCTTTTCATGGTAGGACTGTTGCTCTAGGTGAAATAATTTCTGAACGTTACCTAATTTCATAATTTTTTACCAATGCCAATTCTTTACTATTCAAAAGTTTGAAGTCAGTAAGATATATTCAAATTTAAAATGTTACTCTAAGTAATACAATATTGCCAAAGCTAGGTACATAAGCAGAAAACAGAACAGTAAATTAATGCTTTATACTTTTCTTTAGCAAGGACACGTTTAATTCATAAAAATGGGCAGTAAAGACACAAAAATGTTACAAAATATTGTTATAAAACCCAAAATCACCTAATCAGCTTAGAATAGTCATGTGTTACTGAAGACTGGAATAATGGCTACTGTAAAATTTAGGAATAAATAAATATATATAGATATATATATAAAAACAAAACACTTTGAAATATTTCACAATATTTGACACTTTGAAATATTTCACAATATTACAGTTTTTTTTCTGTATTTTTGATCAAATAAATGCCACCTTGGTGAAAGCTTCTTTCAAAAACATTTTAAAAAATCTTACCGACCCCAAACATTTGAGCAGTAGTGTATGTAATATGTAAACGCATAAGTAAATATGTAATTTATATGCAGGTTTTCTTAAAGTAACCCTAAATTTGTTACATTTTACATCCCTTCCTGATGTACTATACTGTTTGAAAGTTAATGGTTTTCTGGCTTTGCATAGTTATGGCAGGAGTTGAACTTTGCATAGACATGACTTGAAGGCAATGTTACAACAATAGACTCATGTTAATTCAAATACAGTTTCATGTCTTATGGCTAATGGCTATACTTTTGAAATTGTGAGTTAAAAAAATAAAAATAAAATTCCAGTGTCTTGCCCCATCGGAATTTCCCATTTTAAAATCCATTAATATACCTGCTATAGATGGACGGTATATGCCTCTGATGCTGCTGTCTAGTAGTAACTAAAATAAAGTATATTAGCTTTAAAATGCCACATTCTGTGAGAAAGATAATTTCAACATAAGTTATGTTCAAGGGGGAAAATGACTCTTTGTGGGTATGGTGGCTTCACACTGATCTTTGACGGCTCTAACTGAAGGATGTGGCGAGAACTTCCCTCTGCAGACCAGGAAGTGCAGTCAGAGCAGACTGATGACACACTTCCTTTTGTTTTTTTGCAAACAAACAAACACACACAGAGGCAGCAGGCGGACAGATGCGTCATGTGTGTGAGGAACGTTTCTGTCATGTGTGGGTGTCATGACTGTCAGACACAAATGATGCATCACTGCACATATTAAAATGGGAAGCCCAACATCTGATTTCTTGTTTATGGATCTAATTCAGAGCCACACAGACACTTTCTGAATTGTGCCTTTGGGAAACACAACAGCATGTGAGATAGAGGTTGCTTAAGTATTTGAGGATATTCTTTTTCGTGGGATTTTGTCTCTGACTCATCTAAAGATGTTTTTGTTTTTTGCATTAATCCTTTTGCGTAATTAAAAATTGATAGTGACACTGAGAGCACTAGCAGTCCTTATTTAGAGCAACCAACCCTATTAAAACTCCAGGCCCTGTGGGAATGAAATGTCTTTGTTCTGTGGAACATCAACATAATTATTTAGCAAAGTGTTAATCATTTCCATGAGATGTTTAGCATTTTATCTCACAGGAAATTACAAATTGCACGGCTCTTTAAGATAAACAGATCAAGGCAATAAGGACGTGCCTTCGACACACTGATCTAAAAAACGGTTTTGAGGACTCTGTTGGAGGATTTGAGTGGCGTAAGCTGGTCTGGGATCAGTGTTCAGTGGCAGGTAAGGATGCGGTGCGGGGCGATCGGATGTGTAATCCTCCAGCGTGGGGTTATTTTTAGTGTGTGATCCTCTCGGGGGAGCGCCTCATGTGTTGTGTTTGTCCTCCTGATCAATGCGTTATAGATTACGGTTCCCCTGACTGTGGAACGGGATAAACGAAAGAGGCTAAAGCCCAGCTGAGGCCAGAGAGAGAGAGAGGAGGATGGGTTGATTTGGATAGATGCGCGTGTGAACAGAAGGGATCGAGCCTGCGTTCTGTGCATGTGTGCTCTCTGGTTAATTGATTATTCATGGTTCTCTCTCATTTCCTGCCACATTCGGCTGGTTTGTGCATCCCTCACAGCTGAAGATGCTAATGATCAATGTAACACAGAATTAGGGTTCAAATGTGACTAACATGTGCTGGGTCGTGTCTGCTACTGACACTGTTTGTGGTGTTTTATGTTTTGCTGATCTCGTAACACAAGGACCTTCTTTGCAGTGTGTGGTGTGTTTATATATGTATATGTATGTATGTATATATGTTTTTTTTTATGAAATATGCTTTCTAAAGGTGTAACAATGAATAAAACTGTTATAACTGTGGTTATAATTAGTGATCGACCGATATTGATATTTTATAACCGATACTGATACCAATTATTTGCATGTTATGTACTGTTATAAAGTAAATAAATGACTGAGTGAAGTAAGTCCATGCTTCACTTTGGTTTTTCCTCCTTTCAGTCATCTTAAAAAAAAAAAAAAGTGTTGAAAATTACCAGTCTTTCATGTTAAATTTAATCTTCATATTACAACAATAAAAAACGTTTTATTTAAAGCATCAGCAGCAACATAATATTAACAATGAGCAAAATAAACGTAGAAGGTGTAATGTTTTCAAATGGAGAAAATAAAATATATAAAGTTAAGGAGTCATATCAACTTCATTTTTAGGTTTATAAGCTGTTTAATAGGCTAAAGAGTGAACAATAATTCACTGGATAATGTTTATTCACTGAATAATATTCTCTGGAATATTGAAATATAACATATTATTTATTTGCACATCTTTTTAAGCCATTCGGTACTCGCGCGCACCAGAGGCGGTGCGCAGTCACATCCAGAGTGCGCTCGTGCATATGAGTATTGAGTTTGCTACCAAATAAGCTCAGCAGAACCCTGCACGGGCCTCAAACATATGCCCTAGTCCCTTATCCGACAGATTATCAGAATTACTGGCCGAGTCCGACTGGAGCCCATGTCTTTTTTCTCTTTCTCTCTTCCCCAATTACACAGCTGCTGTTGTAGCCATTAAAATAGTTCAGTTTCGTTTTTAATGGCAAAAGTGGTTATATATATTTCCGTTTCTTTATTACGTTAATTTAGACATATGTTTGGAAAATGTTTTTGTTTGTTAAATTCAAGTTTTTTTTGTTTTTTTTTTAAGCGGCCAGTGGCAGACAGTGAGTTAATCATAGCCTATGTTTGATCAATTTAGCCTTCTCAAATCATCACCACTTGACTAAAATAAAATCTATAGGCCTATATAAAATGCTTAAAAAAACAATGTTAGTTTAAATGGTTAACCTAGATAAATGTGTGCTATTAGGAGCGTATCCAATCGTTTGTGCAGAGAAGCTAAAGCGCACTTTGGAGTCGCCAGCACGATCACTTGCGTTTTTTTCTTATAACAGTGGAAACAACCAGTCATTTTTGCTCATAAAGTTAAGAGTAATACATCATTCGGGACTGTTAAGGGTCTACTTTTATTTGTGTGCACTCACAATATCAGCATACGTTGTGCTTTTTTAGAAAACAAACAGGATACGCTTTCTGCTGTCTCGGTCTTGAGCGGGAGCGCTTCACAAAAATGAACCGAAACCTTGCGATATCACCATAATAATTGATGGATATCTAAAATATAAACATAAGGAGGAAGCAAGCCTGATGCCTGACCCGTGTCTGAGCTATGACGTGAAAATTGTCCCGAAGCCATATATAAGTTGGGGCCGTTGGGCTCGGGCTGAAATGCAGGGCTCTAAAGCGCAGCTTGTTGCATTTAAGCAGCAAAAATACACACAAAATGACACCAAAATGGCCATCCTGGCCACACAGTTAAATAAATGATAATATTCAGTGATGTGAAATGTGGAGTAAGGTCTGGCGCAGTTGCAGCTTGTACTTATTACTAAAACAAGAACGCAAACAAGTAGCATTAATAGTCATTCATTTTAGTTAACATATGCTATGATAATTTGAACAGATTTTTATTCTTATTGAAAAATAATGGAACATTTAGGTCATGAATATTGTCTCAAAAGCCATGGAAAAGTCATGGAAATTTATTGGTAAAAATGTGTACGAACCCTGTATGATTTGAGTGGCGTCTGTCCATCGCCACTCACCAGTGCTTGTTATTGGTTTTTAAGCATGTTGCTATGTGGTTGCTAGAAGTGTCTGTAGTAGAGATGAATGTGTATCAGCCCAACACAAATGCCCCAAGCAAAAGCTAATTAACTTGATTCAATTAATTGTTTAATGAATTAGTGGGTTTTTTAGCCTGGAGATTTAATTAACCTTGATGTTAACTTGACAAGTGTTCACTTGTCTGTTAATGTAAGTGCTTTAACCTGTTCTTTCACCCTGCTAGAAAGTTAGATGTTCTTACTGTATAATAATGTGGTGAACACCAGGTCTATGTCCTCATTTCCTCATTACATGGTGAATTCATGTCATTTCAGAATCACTGAAATAGTTTTATGAGTCAATGAGAATTGTCAATGAGACGTAAAGATAAGCCATCCTGTCAACTTTTGACTTTTTGAAGATTGAACCATTAATATTGAACCACGAAATAGTCAAATCTGGTAATTCCCACATGACTTGAATGCAGCATGTCCTTGAACCTTTGCCTTTGTTAATATGTGTTGTCAATAATTTTTTTGGTTTCGTTTAGAATTGTGTTCTGTTCTTTTCATCAGGATCCGTCCGCAGATGGCAAAGGAAAAGATTGAGGGATGTCACATCTGCACCTGTGTTACCCCCGGAGAGACCCAGGTGCTCATGGGTAAAGACAAGGCCTTTACGTATGACTTTGTGTTTGACTTGGATGCTCAACAACATCAGATCTACAGCGCCTGTGTTCACAAGCTAGTTGAAGGCTGCTTCGAGGGATACAACGCAACTGTCTTCGCTTATGGACAAGTAAGATCGATCACACTTGGACACTGATAAAATGATGTTTACCCAGATTGTGATCCAGAAATGTCAGATGAGTTGTTTGTGATGTCAATGTAAGGATGGTTTTCCTACGGTGGTTCAGGCTGTAGGATTGCCGAATGACTAAAGAAACGTTATCAGCACGATGGTATAAAACTGTACATTTCTAGTCTATTACCACCCACTGCCACTTATACCAACGACGGAAATAAGCGCAGTTAGAATAGCTACATATGTGGGAGAGCGTTGCTATTGTGTGACTATTGTATTGCAATAGGTAACACTTTAAGATGAACCTTGAATCAAGACTAGTTAGCACATAATTAATAATTGAAATGGTTTAATAACAATATTTTGTTATGGTTACACTTGAATTGGTTACAAAATAGATGAAGGATGGTAAAGCATAGTTAATTGTACCCAACATGTAAAATATTACCTGAGAGAAAGAGATAGAGAGAGGAAGAAAAAGAGGGAGAGAGGGCAGAGACCCAAGAAGAGAGACAGCCAAGAAAAGAGACAGAGCAACAGTTACAGTCCTCTTTTATCCCTTCCTTGACCATGTGACTAAAAACCAAATGTGAGACATTCAAACTGACCAATCAGCAGATTATAACTTCACCCACTGGGCAAAAGGTGTGACAATTAGCAGACCCCCGGTGTATACACATGTTGGCCTACAGGCATTGATCACTATCAGCACCTCTGTGCCTTCAGGAATTCCAAATGGCCCTTTTGTTACTGAAGATAGGTTTGGGACAGGAAAGCAGAAGTCTTTGATCATTTTTGACCTTACATCAAAAACACTTTTTTTTCGCTTGCACATCCATATGGTCAGCTCATTCATTTCAATGAATCAGTATTAACACTTCACTGTCAGTCGGCCGTGACCAGCTAGTTGAAGGCTGCTTCGAGGGATACAACGCAACTGTCTTCGCTTATGGACAAGTAAGATCGATCACACTTGGACACTGATAAAATGATGTTTACCCAGATTGTGATCCAGAAATGTCAGATGAGTTGTTTGTGATGTCAAAAACACTTTTTTTCGCTTGCACATCCATATGGTCAGCTCATTCATTTCAATGAATCAGTATTAACACTTCACTGTCAGTCGGCCGTGACCCTGTGACCTTTCCCTTTCCCTCACGGTTCCACTTGTCACACACCCTCTTCACGTTTAGAGTGCTTATTGTGTACCGGTCAGGGTTAATCGCTCGAACTGTATCTCTGTGTTAGATGATGTATGAAAGCCAGCTGAAACCGGAATGGACACATGAACACCTGAGAGGAATAGTTCTGCTTATAGGCAACTCTCATGTGAGGTGCAAGCGCTTATAAAAAAGACAATCGCTTAATCTACTGTTTATACAGCAGGATAATATAGTGATAATGCGCTGTTAGGGATGTTCATTTCGGTTATTTTTCCTAACCGACAACCGACGCTCGTTAACCGATTATTAACCGTTAACCGACAAGATTATTTTTAAATTAGAAAGGATAAGTGTCTGTGACCCATTAAAAATACTAACATTTGTTTTACATGCGCAAAAAGCAGCAAACAACAGAACATGAGGATTCACATGGTCTTCATATCACATCACGCACCTGCAGCGCTTCTGCGAGCCGAGAAAAACATCATAAAGCTTGGCTATATATATATATATATATATAACGAATAAATAGGCCTATTCGAGAAATATATTTTTACTTAATAAATTAAGAATATGAAAGAGAACTGTGCAACAAGTAGCCTAGTATGCAGAGTTTTGGTTCATTTTTGTGTTGCGTGAAAGGAAACCAGACGGCAGAAAGCGGCATCCTAATTTTCTTTAGGCTTATTTTACAAAAGCACAAAGATTTGTTTTTATTGTGAATGTACACAAATAAAGGCACACCTTTTACAATTCTCATTGACTAAAAGGAGTAGTTGCTTCCACTGTTAGAAGGAAAAAATTCAAGTGATTGATTGCGTCGGCACCGCATGTTAAGACACAGTTAAGCATTGCTACCTTGACAATGCAGCCTGTTCATTATCATAATAAAATACAGTCAGTCAAACTTATGGAGAAAAAAAACACACTGCTCAGTTTAAATATGTAGTAAAATCTCTGCCGTTAGGTGTTATCACCGCACGGCCGTGATGTTATGCAAAACATTTTGTTTTACGTGGAAATTGGAGCGCGAGTGAAGTAGGCTAGATAATAAATAATAATTTGCGAATACTGAAACATTTGATTTTGTGTGGAATGAGAGACCCAACTTTGGTTTCAGTTTCGTTTTAGCCTAAATTAATTTGTTTTGGCTTGTCGTTTATATTGCTATAGCTTCTTATATTTTTAATTCTTGTTCTTTTCTAAATACTGTTAATTGAAAGGATTTGTTGTGGAGTGAGGGGAACTAAAATAGCCTAGCTATGTCTACAGTGTTTATTATAATGTTTGTAAACGTTTCGCATTCGGCATTAGGCCCATTTCTGAATTAAATAATAAAATGTGATTTATACTAGGGCTGTGTATCACCAGCAAAGTCACGATACGATACGTATCACGATACAGAGGCCACGATACGATACGTATCACGATACAGAGGCCACGATACGATACGTATCACGATACAGAGGCCACGATACGATACGTATCACGATACGTGACTGCACTGAATTTCACCTCAGCAGAATTTAGAAAAACAGCTGTTTATTAAACACTGCTTACTATAGTGCCATTTCTAACTATTGGACCGCACCGCCGTGATGTTATGCAAAACATTTTGTTTTACGTGGAAATTGGAGCGCGAGTGAAGTAGGCTAGATAATAAATAATAATTTGCGAATACGGAAACATTTGATTTTGTGTGGAATGAGAGACCCAACTTTGGTTTCAGTTTCGTTTTAGCCTAAATTAATTTGTTTTGGCTTGTCGTTTATATTGCTATAGCTTCTTATATTTTTAATTCTTGTTCTTTTCTAAATACTGTTAATTGAAAGGATTTGTTGTGGAGTGAGGGGAACTAAAATAGCCTAGCTATGTCTACAGTGTTTATTATAATGTTTGTAAACGTTTCGCATTCGGCATTAGGCCCATTTCTGAATTAAATAATAAAATGTGATTTATACTAGGGCTGTGTATCACCAGAAAAGTCACGATACGATACGTATCACGATACAGAGGCCACGATACGATACATATCACGATACGTGACTGCACTGAATTTCACCTCAGCAGAATTTAGAAAAACAGCTGTTTTTTAAACACTGCTTACTATAGTGCCATTTCTAACTATTGGCAGAGCAGGCAGTTGAGCTCTGCATTATGAAGGGCCTCCATAACTGTACCACAGTACAATATAGGTAATGGCATATGTTTCATGTTTACATTGTGCACTCCCCACCAGGTACAATATTCTGATTGTTTGCATCTTGTTTTTAAGCCCATACATAATAATGTACTTGTTCTAATAAATGTATATTGTAATGTACTCATTATAATATATTTAAAAAATAATTTACATCGCTGGTAGGTTATCATTGCACAAATTAACACACCCTCTACAATAAAAAAAAAAAAGAGAAGAGTTCTAAACTAACGCGCTGTCTTCACTGCATCTAACGTACACACTCTCAAGGCTGATTTAAGGCTGATTTATAATCGAGCGTCTGCAAGTTCTCTTTGAGTGCGCGTGACGTCGTTTCGCGTGGCGGTGTGCACAACATTTTTTGTAACTTTCTGCGCAGCTTCCGAAGATGCACGAGTTCAAAGCGACTCTAGCCGAACATGCACGTTTGTGCCAGCATTTGTGTGAAACAGAAACAGTTTGATGTTAAGTTCAGTCACACACACAGATCACGCTGCGGCCGAATTCAGACATTCAGGAACAAACTTTTTAGCGCTGCTCCGCAGTTTTATCAACTAAATAGCTAATCGCTCAAGAGCTACATTATCTTTCTCAACAAGGAGCTGGTAGCATCATTGTTTCTAAAGGAATTAAAGCCACAGCTTTACTGTTAATAGAGAAAC